AAAAAAAAAAAAAAAAACATCAGCTTAAAATTCCAACTTTATGGATAATAATATAAAATTGTAAATAGTTATGTTATTATTATTATTTTTTTATTTCATCCACAACGAATAGATTCAAACTCTCTCATCTTAATCCATAATACATATCAATTACCACTTGACTCGATATTTTAACTAATCAAGTCATATTCAAGTTGACAATAAAAAATTATTAACAAAATAAATTAATAAAAACAAAAAAAAAGATAATTAAAATAAAAGCATTTTAAAAGGTAAAGTAGTGATATATTCATCCATTAATAAAAACACGATAGAAATATGACTAATTTATAAATTTGGTCCCTACCTCTTAAAAAAAAATTAAAAATTTTGTTTATAAAATTGTAGGAACAAAAGTTTTATAAATAATTTAAATGGAGTAATTGGCAAATAAATATTTAAATTTTGAGAAATTTTGAAAAGATAAAAGGAGATATTTGGAAATTGGAATGCATCCAATGAAATAAGGTGTAGGTGTGAAATGGAAATGTGAGATGAAGAAATCCTATGAGTGGGTAAGCGCCTTATCTTGAAACAAAACAAGGGTGCGTTTGGCGGCTGACGGTTACAAAGCTGAGTGACCAACAACCCACATACGTGGACTTTCGCTTACAACATAACTTGGATAACACACATCAACATTCCTAATTACAATCCTTTTATCCCAATCTAAATGCTTCCTTACCCCATCTCTGTATCAACCAATGGATATGGATATCTGGATATCGATAAAACATGATCTTATCATAATCTCGAGAATTTGCATGTAGATTTTCAGTCTTCATTCAACTCTCTGAGTTCATTTTCAACTAGATATGTAATTGTGAGATCTCACATCGGTTGAAGAAGTGAAAACCTCTCCCTAATAGACGTAATGGACTTTGATATCATATTAGTAATGGGCTTGAGATTTATTTTTTTTATTTCTCCAAAAATTTCATATCAATAAATTTTTATTGGGGGCAGAGAATCCAAAATAAAAAAAAAGAGTGGCAGTAATCCCCAGTGCATCAGCACACACAAAATGATAATGAGCCCATAATTCCCAGTTTGACACGTGGTTTCAGATGATTGCAGATCTCCCAAGCCGACCTGTCTGGTGATGATGTGTACCAATTCGAACACCACTGCCACGGGTATGGTTTGGTATAAAACCGGCATATTGTGGACCCCAGTCATAGGGTGTGAGCTGGCTACTGTGACGATGACGTGAAAGAGACGGTTCGAACCCATTTACACCTTTTTGGAAGATATTTTTAATATTTATATTCTCAATTTGGTTAGACAGCGATCCTCCTAAAGACATTTTCCTTCCCTTTTTCTTCTCACATACATTTTTCTTTTAAATCTTTTAACTTCAATTTCATAATTTGGATAATTCATAAATTATCATCTCAAAAGTTAAGTTAATACGAGAACGAGAACATAAATATGGGTCTAAGTAAGAATTGGAGCGTACATGAAAATAGCATATAAAATCACATTCCATTTATAAACGTTAAAAAGTTATTTTTGAAACAATATTAAATATTTAAAATTTTAAAATTAGTATTTAAAAAAATAATTCTCAAAACACTTCCTTTCCATCCATAGGAATAGAATCAGCTGCTGGGTTTGGAATATAGTTATAGTAGAATGTTAGGGTGTGGGAATGTGGGCTACTTGCCAAACGGGTAAAGAATAAAAATGAAATTGACTCATTGTACACTTAAAAAACTTTGAGAGAGTTCGAGGAGGACAATATCTACTAGTGGTGGAGTTGGACTATTACAAATGGTCTCAAAGTCGGCCATTGAGTAATGTGCCAGCGAGGAGGATGAGCCTCAAAAGGAGTGGACACGAGGCGGTGTGCCAGCAAGGACGTTGGACCCCAAAGGGTGGTGGATTGGAGGGTCCCACATCGATTGAAGAAGGGAAGAGTACCGGCGAGAACACTAGGCCCTGTAAGGAGGTGGATTGTGAGATTCCGCATCGGTTGGAGAGGAGAGCTCGAAAGGAAAAGGCCAAAGAGGACAGTACGTGCTAGCGGTGAACTTGGATGGTTACAATCTCCAACCATTTTTGGTCCTTGAGTTAGTGCATGTAGCGACTCACAAAAGCAAAGAAAAAAGCCCCATGCTGAAAATTTAAAGCAAAAGCAAAAGATTTCATCAGAATGAGGAGAATTCAGACAGAGAAGTAATGCAATGGCAATCTAGTTGTGGAAGTCAAGAAGCCCATCATACTTCAGAATGAATCTTGTTGAAAGAGAAGAGAGTGTACAAAATTTTCAAAATCCAACAAAAGTTTGGCAAAGCATTTATGAACAAAGAACAGAGTAGCAAGTAGCAAGTAGCAGCAGGAAATAATACTTCTTCCTTCTTCCATTAGTAAAGAAAGTAATGGAAGCGTTCTTGAGCGAAATGTAAGGAGCAGAATGATATTGAGGATGGGATTGAAAAGTCCTTCATCCCCATCTTTTGGGTTGGAACCTTGTCCTTCCCCTACATACTTTTGTTACAAGTAAGGAGGGAAGATAGATAGCACCAAAAATTGTTGATATGTGTGGAAAGGAAAGACCGCACAGCTCTATGAAATTAAAGGAGCCTACCCTTAGCAATGTTTCTTATAATCATATTTCAGTAATATTCTATACTAGTTTTAAAATGTTAATCCCAACTGACGAACAAAAATGGACCTTACCTCTCTTGAATTTGAAAGACAATGCCAACTCTCTCTCAGGGGTTAACGGTTGAGAAGACTGACTCACATGGTTTGCCATCTTAATCATACTTTCGGACATAAATGGAACCTGAAGTTGGTTCGCTCAGACCTGCAAGAGAAGCTAAAGAGGAAAGGGAAGAAAGATTAACCTACTTGTAAAGAACACATCAACAAATAAGTAAATAAGGGAAGACCTGCTACATTTAAAATGCAAAGCAAATGCAAAGCAAATGTGTGAGATCCCACGTTAGTTGAAGAGGGGAACGAAACATTCCATTATAAGAGTGTGGAAACCTCTCCCTAGTAGATGTATTTTAAAACTTTGAGGAGAATCCTAGAAGGGAAAGCACAAACAGAACAATATCTGCTAGCGGTGGGCTTGGGTTGTTACAAATATTATTAGAGCCTATCACTGGACGATGCGAGACATTGGTCAGAGTAGAGCTAAACTCTCTCCATAGGAGACACGTTTTAAAACCGTGAGGCTAATAACGATATGTAACGGGCCAAAAAGGACAAGAATTATCCTATAAAGTTTTTTCACTGGTCATGGTCGGAGCAGGACTAGACTCTCTCCATAGTAGTAGACACGTTTAAAACCGTGATGCTGACGGCGATATGTAATGGGCCAAAGAGGACAAGAATTAAACAGCAAAGTTTTTCCACTTCCACTCTGTCCAAGAATTAACTCAAAACTCCAAAAATCAACAGACGAGGAAAGTAATGTGGGAAAGATAATCAAGTATATGTGTGTGCTATAAACTGAGAATAAATCTTAGGAAAGAAGTCCAGGTTAGAAATATGTTAACAAAATGGAGGATAGACAAGTCCTTCATAAGTGCCTTGATGGTTGATTGGGGTCAGTCAGGCTGAAATGCTTTGTGTAATCTCCAGAAAATTTAGGGCTAATGTGAAGTCCCACGTTGGTTGGAGAGGAAACGAAACATTCTTTATAAGAGTGTGAAAACCATTCCCTAACTGACGCGTTTTACAACCGTGAGGTTAACGGCAATATGTAACTGGCTAAAGCGGACAATGTCTACTAGCGGTGGCCTCAACTGTTAGAGCTAAGGCAGACAAGTTCTTCATGATAAATTTGAAAACGTTTCTAATTACTTTTCATCATTCTAAACAACAGCCCTTAATTTATTTTCTACATTCCCTGGCTATCGGACCAATCACAAACCCATAAGACAACTCGACTCAAGATTGAAGAATGTCTACTACGAAGTATAGCACATTGCCTTCCTCTCACTATATATGGCGAGCACAATTAGTTAGCTTAAAAAGATGTTAAGGGGTTGAAGTGATATGTTAAATCAAACCCTCCTCCTCTCAGATCCTAGTTCAAAATTCATCCATGTAGCAATAAATCGTAGCAAACCCTCCCCACAAGTTGAAATTCACCCATGTTGCAGCCAAGCTTGCCGCTAGAAACCAAGCCATTAACAAGCAAAGCAGAAGAGTGAATCCTTTGTCATGCTACATTGCACAAACATACACTGTGAAATCAGAGAAGAATATAATACCTTTTTCTCTCAAAGTAAAACTTGTGTAATAGCATAAACCCACCGCAGCAATTAGTGTTCTCGTTGGGCTTTCCTTTTCAAGCTTCCCCTCAAGTTTTTTAAAACGTATCTACTAGAGAGAGATTTCCACACCCTTCGATATTAAAGCTTGAACCCCTAACCTTACAAGAGTCCGGAATAGACTTGGTAACCTAATCAAGTTTCACAGTAACATCCACATTCCACCAAATTGCACTACCACCGGATTCAATAAGATATAACCCATCAAAATAAACTCGATGAGGCGCAAGATTGAAAGAAATTATAACGAAATGAAATAGGTCAATCTTGATTACGTCAACTAGAATAGAAAAGGCTATGCTAGAAACGTTAAATTAAGCTAAATTTAAAGAACAGCAACAGAGATAGCTGCTAAAATGGTAACAAATCCAGGCAAGGAAAGAGTTGAGAGACTGTAACTAATCAATGGCTTGAGTTCGGAAAAGAAGATAAGGAGAAATTGAAGGGAATCTGTAGTTCATTCTATACCTTAAGGAGTCGCGTGCAGCTACAACTTCGAACCACATACAAAGCTCGCCATGGCAGCCAGACGACGAGCCAACCTAATTGGGCTTAATCCCCTTCTCAAACATCAAATTATTCCAATAAAATAAAATAAAAAGTTCAAAAATATATTTATCATTAAATTTTAAATGAAAAGCGTTGAAATTTTATTAATATTTTATGAGTATTAGAAAAAGGTGCCAAAATTGTCCAATGTTTCAACCAAGGATTAATTTAATTTTGTAACCATCTAAATTTACGAGATATTATTTACTTCGGCCTATTATTCATCTTCACGATTTTAAAATGCATCTACTGAGAAGAGGTTTACATGTCTTTAAAAAGAATGTTTTGTTCCCTTCTCTAATTGATAGGGAATCTCACAATCCACTCATTGGGTCTTGTTGGCACACTACCCGTGTCGGGCTCTAATATCATTTGTAATAGCTAAAGCCCACCGCTAGTAGATATTGTCCGTTTTGGTCTGTTACGTATTGCCGTCAGTCTCATAGTTTTAAAACACGACTACAAATGAGAGGTGAAATGGTTCACTTATTTTGCCCAATGTAGAAGAAATGAATAGAGATGTAAGAGGTAGAAGAAAGAAAGGCCTTTTCTTTGTTCAAAAAGAGCATAGATTCTCCAAACCACAAATATTAATCAAGAGATTACAGCTAATCTTTCATTTTGATACAATCATTATGCATTAATCTATATTCCATTAATGTAAAAACAGTAATTAACTCTATATTGGGTCTCTTAAAAGTATGAAAAAAGAAGCAAGCTTTTCTTCCACATCTTACCAATCTAGCTTTTGAAGAACATTAATCTTTGAATATTATGCTTTAGATATTTGTTTTCTCCCTTGGTGGGTCTCCACCAGAATACAGTAAAAATTCTCTCATATCCATCTCCAATCTGTTCATGAGACAGATAACATTAAAATATCACATGATGGTTTGCATATAAATACCCCATTCCTCACTTGGAAGACAAAATATCAAGAAAACAAACAATGGATTCAAGGTGTAGATCAGCAAGACCCCTTGTGCCCCATGGAGAAGCTATGGCTAGCAGCAGAAACACGAAGCCGATGGCGACGTCGTTGAACGCATCGCCGCGTTCGTGTCATGTTTCGTTTATGGTTCATCACCAAGAGAGGGGGAAGATGGCTCCGCCGAACCAAAGAGTTGTTCATGAGGCCATGAACGTTCACGAGGCTAAGTTTTGGAACGGTTACGGCGTCGTTGTCGACGAACATATCGATCGGAAGGCTGCTATGTACATATCGTCTGTGCAAGAACGGTTTAGACTTGAGGGGTTGATCAGCTGAAGAAGCAACTTTGGTGCATGATATGGTGTAGAGAGTAAATAAAAATGGTATCTTTTTGGTTGCAAGCATTTGTAGATACGCATATAGGTTTGTAACTATGCTTAAAAATGATCAATGTAATGTATAACCTTTAGTTGATCTTTATCTAAATATTAAATATGTATATATTAATTACTTCAAAAGTGAGGCTCAATTATTGAAATTCTACTCAGATTCTATGCTCTTTGTTTCTTATTGTAAAAAGTAACAATGTGGTGGATGTACGAGAGAATCGATGAATGAGGAATCATTTTGATTAATATTATGAGCCAAGACTTGACCAAAGTGGAGCCCCTTTGAATAATATTCTCTCAGATATTTATATGTGCTCAAGCAGAGGCTAAACAGTCAAAATTACTCCTTTTTTATTTAAAAAAAGTTAGATGACCAAAATTTGAAGGGTTATTTTTGGTACGAGCTTAGAACTCTTACGAAAATGTAATTTTTTATTTTCAATGGATCAAATATCTGTTATGGAGTTCAAGATTTATATATATGGAAATTACTAAGTACTTCTAAACCAAGATGTTTACTCATTTAAACTTGCAATTCAACTTACCTTAGTGATTAAGAAATTTTTAAGAAATTTAGTACAATTGTTCACTCTTTTGCTTCTAATTTTTTGAAAAACTTAGGTTATTTTCACAAAATTTTAGTTTTTTCAATTACGTTAATAATTCATTATATGTTCAAATTAATAAATTTAAAGTTATTGATTTATTGTATTTATTAAAATGAACCCAATACGTAATACTGATTAAGAAATAAGAGATTCAAATCTTATAGTAAATTTAAGAAAAATAAATAAATTCATGTGTTTTCTGTTATCAGTACAAAAAACAAGAGAAATGCAAGGGTGCCGCTAAAAAATAATAAAAAGAGACAGAAAAGGAAAGAAAATAAATTTTGTAAGTTTGAACAAAGAGTTCGTTAAAAAAAAAAAAACAATTTTGTGGTCCAATTCAACTGAAATGTTAACAATATGTTTATAATTGAATGGGTTTCAATCAAAATGCTAGAGATTTTTTTAGGACTAGTTCTTATTTTCATAAAAAATAAAAAGAAAAAATGTGTTGGAGAATAATTTTAAAATGACTAAAATCAACATGGTCAGTACCTGATTCAATCACTTCTAAACTGGCTAAAACAAATGCTCATTTCTTTATTTAATTGGTACCCCTTTTTAGAAGAGAGGAGCGATGATGATTGCCTGTAGAGGTGAAGAAAATAATAGACCAATTCGTTAGTAATAAATCCAAAAGGCAAAGCTCAGATATTCTCTATATTACCCAATCAAAGTGTGTGAATTCCAATCTGTCTGCTGAAATCATATTCATTCCTGCATCATGGTACAATGAATTCCACAAGCTTTAATCATCTTTATGGCAATCCTTCCAAAACCTTTGCTGTAAAGAAACAATTAAAACAACAAAGCATTTCTCAATACTCTAAGCATTATAACTCGCCTTTACACTTCGCCCACACATCCATTTTCTTTAAACAAAACACCCTCCACCTTCCTCACACATCTCTAAAGCAAGAAATAAAGTGCAGTTCAATAGAGATCCTTTTCTTTCCATCTTCATAAAGCAGATCCACTGCCTTCGACTCATCAACATAACTTTCCCTTGCTTATAAACCATTTTCTCTTCTTTCTCCCCAAGTTTGGCATCCCCTAAGCTCCTTCTTTGCTAAGCAAATCAACAAGCTCGTTCACCCTTATAACCCCTCTTTTCTTTTCACCTACTTCTAACCTTCAATTCTCTCTATAGAACTTGAAGAGGAACTCCACTACTTCAGAACACTCCTCCTCCTCTTGTAGATTGAGATGAGTGCAGACTGGGGACCGGTTGTCGTGGCGGTGGCGCTGTTCATTGTGCTGTCGCCAGGGTTGCTTTTTCAGTTGCCGGCGAGAATCAGGGTGGTGGAGTTTGGGAATATGAATACCAGTGGGATTGCCATTTTGGTGCACGCTATCATTTTCTTCTGCATACTCACCATATTGGTCATCGCTATCGGTATTCACATACACGTTAACTGACTTTCAATCATCTGCTTTGGCTACCTTCAGCAGATGAATTGCTTCCTTCTGTTTTTTCTTTCTCTAGGACTCAGCATATTTCTCTCTATTCTGCTCCATTTTCCTGTTTTCTTTTTCCCTTTGAACAACAACTTTCTATATTGTAATCTGCTAAATGTAAACTATAATTTCAATTCTTTTTGGGGGGTTGATAAAGAAGGTAAGCTTCTGTAAATACTCTCACGGTAATTCCTTGAATATCTTGAGCAAAATTCTTCCCTATTTTCTAACTAATCGATAATATCATTCTACTAGCTTGCTTATACCATGGAACAAACCAAATTTGAACAAAATTTTAGCCAGACTGTCCGCACTAAGACGAATATCTTGTACTTGAGATGCGTTGAATTTATTAAATCGAAGAACAAAGAGAGACAAAAAAGAAGATTCTCCATGAGATAGAGCAGCTACAGAGACCAGCGTTCGATGTAATTAGATCTATACTAGCAATGGAAACCAAAGGCGTAAGTAAAACGAAATAAACATACAGAATGCCTTCTATCTCTTCCGAGTCTTCGACTACAGAAATCGCAAATACAAACAGATCAAACAAGATCCGCATCAAACAGAAATACAACAACACACAAGGCACAAACACCACTAGGAATGCAGCAGCTTCAGTTCGTAAGAATCTCGAATGAAAACGGAAGAAGGACGGGAAGAAGAGGTTACCGGATCATCCAGAGTAGATGTGGACATGAAGAGCGAGAATGAAAACGGCGTAGAGGATGAAGAAGATGAGAGTATGAATGACTACAGCTTTACCGTTAGTCTTCATACTCCCGAACTCAAACTGCCGATTATTCCCCGGGAACTGGAACAGAAGCCCTGGCGAGAGAAGCACGAACAGAACAACTCCGATCACCACTGGCGCCCAATCCGACATCGTGTCAGAGATATCGTAATAATTTACTAAACCAAAAGAAAAAAAATCAAAAGAGGAACTCAAAGTAGCAGAGAGCTTTGGTGAAAAAAGCGAGAGAAAAAGTGGCTTTGCAGAAACGCGATGAAGATGATGAAGAAGAAGAGAAATGGTACTGAACAGAGTTCCACCTTTTCCTTTTCCTCTCTCTCTTCCCGCATCGAAACGAGAAATAACGCTTTGCTTCATGATTCGAAAATTATGGGAATCCGAGGAGTTGTTGTTAATTACGAGAATGACACTAGCTTAGTGGCAATGCTTACTGAGAGCCCATAAGTTAAGTGCTAAATGGGCCCAGTGGGCCATATTGGGCCAGACCATGGACGGGCTCGGCGGTCGAATAAGCGGGAAGGGAAAAAGGGAGGTCGGGAAACAACGGTGGATTTACGTGCAAGGTGCCCTCGCTTTTCCAAACTCTACTTTTTTTTATTCCTTATTTATTTATTTATTATTGTATTAAAAAAAAAAAAAAAAAAAAGAAGAGAAGAATTGTATTGAAAAATTAGCGATATTACCATTTATATCTTATTTTTTCTAAATAGTACATAAATTTATTTCATTCATAAAATGAGTTCATATTTATCAACATGCGAACATTTTCTACTTGAGAACGGACCAATATGGATCTAAATTCGAGTTGGGTTATTTGTCAGAAAAAATTTAAAGAAATTTATTATTATTTATTTATTTATTTAATTCAAAGAGGTTCTAATTTATAAAACATTCGCTGTCTCCCCTTCTGTGTTAATAAATCTTAATTTTAACTTTTTTTTTTTTTTTTTTTTATGACAAAGAAAGGGTTTGAAAAGATGGCTTAGTTTAATTCGCCCTCAAATATTAGGTTATTTACTAAAGAACCATATATGATAATGCGCATTATATTAACGAAAGAAATAACGCCAAAAAGAAAAAAAGAAAAAAAAAAAAGAATAAAGAAAGAAAGAGAAGAAATCGCCAAGAAGAAGTGCTGTGCTGGTCGCATTTGGGCGTAGCTTGGCGTTGTAGACTGGAGAGGAGAAACGTTCAGCCACACGACATTGTGAGATTCCATTGCCGGTCCTCGATTTCGCAATTCTAGATCTATCTGTCCGACTCAGTTGCTGGGAGAGTCACCGATAAGCTGTAATCGATGATACTATTGCAGTCACACTCCAGATTTCTGCTCCAGACTTTGTTAAATCGGGTGCAGAAGTAGGTTTTTGTTCCTTTTTATCTGTTTCCGATCCAGACTTCGTCATTTTTCCATGTCCACCCATTAACTCGGATACTTAATTATGTAATTTAGTTGTCCAAAATGCCTGATGTTTTTCTTGTTTATTTCAGTCTTGAGAAAGCCGTGGAAGTGGATTACAATTGGGTGGAATTTGACGATGTGCGCTACCATGTCCAGGTGATTTTTCTTATTTTGTTTTCATAATTTTGAAGCAGATTGAATTTTATTGTAATGTCTATGATTGATCTGTATTGTTTTGTAGGTCTCAATGAAGAACCCCCATCTCTTCCTGCTATCTGTATCATTGCCCATCCCTTCTGCAGATACTGTTTTTTGTGGTGGCCTCCCATCTGGAGCCATAGAAGCAATTAAAGCTGCATATGGCGTGCTTGTACAGATTCTTGACCCTCCAAGAGATGGTTTTAATCTCACATTAAAGTTGAATCTTTCGAAACTTCCTCACGATGAAGGTTTATCGCGTTTTATTTTTAAGGTCATTATAAATTGTTGTGGACATTGCAGAAAAATGGTCTATTCATTTATTTTTTTGAGTATTTCTTCTTGTTATCTGTATCATTCTTTAGGTCTCCTAGCACATGGCTTTCACTACTGCCTTGCAGAGAATATACTTGTTTGGGAAGTTAATATTTTGGAATTTCCCCTGAGCTCCATTGAGAAAAATCCTAGGTTGGAATATGTTAAAGAGTTTTAGCAGAGAAATATTGGAGGTGTTATTAAGATTTTATAATAGAGGGAGTTAGAGAAAGGATTAGAAAAATTTGGAGGACTAGTTTTGGAGAGGCCAAGCCTCTCGAAGTGCTTGGGTAGGAGTGTCTATACCTTTCAAAGTGCTTGGAGTTGGAGTATTGTAATTCTTCCTTTATTATTTCAATATGATTTTTGTCCATTTACGACAAGATCGAGTAACTGTCAATATTATTTGTTAAAACTCATTTATGAACAATTTGCAACCTAAGTAAGCTTAAATATTTGTCGGTTTATGGAGCTAAACGGATGTAGGAGAGCATTAACTTTTGTGGAGTTTTCTACTTTTTATTTGTCCGTTAGTTATCAGGTTTTTGTGCTTGAGCTTTATAATTGATGCTTTTTTTACTAAATTCTTGCAGATAATAGGCATGCTACTTTGGTAAAAGTTGCATCGATTAGGGAAGTGGTACTTGGTGCTCCATTAAGAGTAATTCTTAAACAACTCGGTTCGAGGATTATTGGTTCTGATGTCAATAGGCTTGTTGCACTTGTACATCGTCCAAAAGAGTCATTTTTTCTTGTACCTCAGGTAGTAGGATCATTTTGCTCCTGCTTTTACTATTTAGGACAATATTTACTGCTGTTTTTAAAGCTTGAGGTGGAATTATCCTTGGGTGCTAAAACGTAAGATACAAAAATAAGAGCAGGCTCTAGTGAGGCAAGGAGCAGAACCTAAAATAATGATGCAAATTTAATTTATGAAAAGTTTAGTCTAATGAAGTATGAGACAAGGAAAAGTAATTGAAACAAGGCTTTATTTAAGACATTGTTGTTTTTGTGCATTTTTCTTATTTCCAATGTTGTCTTTATTTCTTACTTGCATTTGCTAGCAGTTAATTGGTAATTCATTTTGCTGGATTGGTTTATACTGATGTAACATGAAACATTTGATACCTTTTAATCGTACCCTGCTCAGTTTATTTCATCATTTACTCATATTGTGACTTAAATAGATAACTTTTTATTTGACAAGATTAAGATTTTGGTAATAACAGGCTGAAAAGGTAATTGTGGTGTATCCGATGAGATTTAAGGATTCTATAGACATTGCTCTTGCAACTTCTTTTCTCCAGGTAAGGTCATAATTTATTCTCCCCATCAAGTGAATAGAAGTCTGCAAATGACAACTTTAACTTTCTTTATGAAAAATTAGGGTGCCATATATTTGTGTATAATCCTGACCAGGACTTCTTTAGTTCCTTAACAGGATATTCTAGTGTTGTAATTCTAATGATAGCACTCCTGAAGTTATGCTTCTGTCTGTTTAGGACAACATGTTTTCATTGACCAAGTTGTGAAATTCCACGTTATGTCTGTTCAGGAGTTTGTAGAAGCAAGACGAAGTTCTGGACTCAATAGTGCCCCTCCTTGTTCATGGTCTCCATCTCCTCCTCAAGAGTTGAAGGGAGCTCCTAATGATGCATTATCAGCCAATGCGGGATTTGTTACTTTTGGTAATGTCCGAAAGTAGTGCTAGTTTTACAAGTTTTCTTTTTTTCTTCCATATTCTAAACTGCAATGTCTTTATTGAATGCAGTAATTTTCCCTCGGCATGTAGAGGGGAAAAAGATCGACCGTGTAATTTGGAGCTTGTCAACATTTCATGCATATGTCAGTTATCATGTTAAGGTTTGTTTATTTACATTATACTAACCTAAATCAATTTCTTTCATCACGTGGATTCTTTAAGAAGTTCTCTTTGTTACTTGAAAATGCATGACTGAATGAAACATGATTACGATATGATACAATATCTGTCCTAGGCTGTCGTGTAATGGTTATTTCTGCTAACAAATCCCAGAAATAAGTTTGACTCTTTGGATAGTATAGTGAAAATAAAATGCTCTCTTCTGTCTCCTCTTTTCTACTACCTCTCAACCTTTCTTTCCTAGCCTCCATCCTATCTGTGTCTTATTGGATTTTGCTTTAGGGTTGAGCATCTTCTGATTTCATCTTCCTTGAAGTTATTTATTTCCTCTTTTTAGCAACAATGTGTATTTTTGCTTTGGTTCATAAGTGATAGCTTTTTCATACAAGGCATTGACAAACAAGCTGGTAATTCCCCTTTCACTATCTCATTTGCATTGGTTTGGAAGTTCATTAGTGAATCTGCTTCAATATCTAGTGCATTTGCACTATTTCTAGCAAGATGGAGATGAGAATTGTACAACTCAGTTATTGAAGCAAAGGTCTACTCTAGGATGGAGTATAGAATGCATTGGATGACCATCTTCAAGAAGAAGGAAACTGCTTAAAGTTCCTGCCGGAATTTCTAAACTTTCTGCAGGAATTTCTAAATCAGGTTGGCTCATCTTCTTCGAAATGATAAAGGACCTTCTTAGGAAGTATGAGGAAAACTCACACTGGTATAAGGATTTGGTTAAGCTCCCGTCTGTCCTGGGAGATACCAATCACAAAAGCTATGTGGAGGCTGTGAAAGCAAACTTGAAGCTCATGGATTTTCCAGTGAAGAGTTCTAAATCCAACTTCTTTGAAGAATTCTTTTGCTTTAAATTCTTCTCAATCATATTGGGCAAGGAAGGATTGAGAAATAGTGAATATGGATTTTCGTGATGTAATGGTTTTAACAAGATTGTTTGCTCATGATAATTGGAAGGAAATAAAGAAGGCACTGAAGGATCATTTTGAGGCCAACTATTGTAGAAGCTTAAGGGTGGTAGTTCCCAAGCAAAGCCCCCAACTTCAAGGAGTAATGGAAAATTGTCAGAGAAAATACGTTTTGATACCCTTGAATTATTGATCGACATATCCCATTCCATTGATACTAGGAATCTATCAATCAACGAATGCAAAGAATGGTGACCCACCCTTAACGTTGTGAATTTACTGTTGGACAAAGGTATTTCCATTTGGCCTAGGTCTTCAATTAATTTATTTAACTTTCTCTTCCCTTTAGATTGCTTGGCCCCTAGTGGAGATATCTATTAGTCGCAAAAATATTTTGGGTACATCAAGAGTAGGCATGAAGTCCCAAGATTATATCTCACTCTCCATATCCATTATTTGAAATTCTGACCCAGATTGATTTTCAATCTCTTAATCCATAGATGCCTTGTCAAAGTTTGTCTTTAACCCAAATCACGGTAATTCAAATGACCAGAAATGGTTTTTTGTAAGTCAAGCCTCCACTTTTTGTACCTTTTCTTTATTCACACGTTCTCCCACCAAGAATGCATGGCTATGACACCAACACAAAGGAAGTTCGCCGCAAAAAGCTGATTGTAGGCTAGAATTATATCTGGGTTGGTAAATATGAAGTAGGAAAGCTAGGATCAGGATTCTCAATTATAGAAAACTTTAGGAAGTAACTTTTCTCCTTTTATCATATTATGCGCATTGGAAAGTCTTCATTATTCGATTCTGAATAAATAATTTCATTATCTCTGGACAGTGTTCCGAAGGTTTTATGCACACACGGATGCGACGTCGTGTTGAATCTCTGATTCAGGTAGCATTCCATCTCTCATTTTGCAACTCTCGCCCTTTTTTTAGTTCAATTGTGCGGGGGTGTTCACTTGAACATCCAACATTTTTTTGGCAAAATATAATGCTTTGACTAGTTGAGTTACAGTAAAGTTGACTATTTGTTGCATTCTTAATATTTGAGAAAAAACTGTTGTCGTGTAGGCACTTGATCGTGCCAAGCCAGATGTAATCGATACAAGTAAAAGAGCAAACAGCAGATCCTTCAAACGGCTGGATATTGATGGGAATGCTGGGTGATGATGAATTGTGGAAATTTTGTAATACCAGTTGCTGGGTGAGAACCACTCAGTTTTCTCCATAATTGCTGGAAAGGTAATGTGGTTATTCTATTTTATTTCTTTCATTTATAGGGCCATCCTCGCTTCTTCTTTTTGGCTTCGACTGTGCTATATATAATTTATACATGTCAAATCGAAGTCGCAATATTTAATTTACCCTCCAATGATAACTTTATTACCTTTAATAAATTTACTTAGTTTAAGCTTTTATTTGTGTTGGTTAAAAAGTTTAGGAGTGGAGGTTGAGAAGTACGTTGCACCTGTTATGTGATTTACTGGATTATAATTGCTTCATATCATATGCCCACTGATGGTAATAAGTTGGAACGTAAAAGATTTGTTAGCATTTTGAGAATTTACTGGTATGGTAAATAGTATAGCCAATGACAACAATTCCTATTTCATGTAATTTTATTGAATTATTTTCAAATACTCCTTCCAAGGAACTTATCATTCTCCCGTTTTATTGTCCCTCCCTTCTATTTTGTATTTTCATTTTTATCCATTTTTTCAATCTTATTAGTTTACAAGTGACCATTTATAATTGTTTACTCATCTGCTAAACTTGGTGATTAAATTTTGCATCGCTCTCTCGATAGGAGAAAAATCAATCGTCCATGCTTCAATTCTCATACGTTGTGTTGGACTTTTTAAAAATTCTGAACCATACATTTGAAAATAGTCAATCATTCAGTCCAAATAAAATGACTCATTTATGAGATAGACAGGAGTTTAATGGATATAATCAAACTAGTTGATTTTTTTTAATTTTTTTGAAGTATAAATGTATATGTAATTGGGACTACATAAATAGATAACTCATCTATCAACATGAGCATAGCTAACGTGTAATCCTCTATTGAAAGGTCATTTTGAATATCTTCTCTACATGTTGTCTTTTAAACAAAAAAGAAAAGAGCTCACAGAGAGTAAGGACATATGGCCCATGGAGTAACCTTTTTAAACGATATTATATTATCTCATACAATGCCTCCCAATAATTGCATTCAAATTTATGTCCTCGACCCCTCCTCGTATTTTATTTTTTATTTTTTATTTTTTAATCAATAGACAAGACAACGACCCATTATTTTTTTACTCCGCCCAAGTCGACCATCAAATTTTATCATTTATTTTTTTAATTTATTGGAGAGATGATAAATCAAGACGTGTATGATAATCTTGATACCGCTTCATTTAATATCACCATTGCAAAAAATGTGCTTTTCTCTTGCATTAAATAATTGCCTCTTTTATTTTATTACTTTTTTTATTAAAAAATATGTTATGATTTTCACAACCAAAATTTTGAACATTTTTATTTTGAAGATACAAAAAAACAAAACATGGTTTTGTTTGTGGTTGATCGAATAAAGAAAATTGACGAAATAAAGTGGATGCGGACAACCTTCGGAAGTAGATGTGGATCAGCCTTTGTCTGTGTCATCGTCGTTATCCACTCCCGAGGTTCAATTTGGCAATCAAAGGATAAGAGAGTTTAAATCTCAATCATTGTAACCCTAAAATTTAATAAACTTTATGAACAGACTTGATGATTGGATTTCAAAAGGCTGGAGGCTTTAAATTGAAAAGGTAAAATTTCTGGCAGATTTTCAATTTTGCTTCGTCGTGTTCTTCTAATTTTGATGGAGGTAGCCATTGCCAGCTTCTAGTTTCTTGCGTATGGTGCTTGCATATCAGAACAGTTGTGGGAGCGCTATCATATTCATGGGGATGTTTGTATCTCTAATAAATAATCAAAATAACCCTTCTTTATTTTGCCACCCATTTCCATCGCCCGACCCCACGTTATCATTCCCCGTTTCTCACTGCCTGCGCTGTGTTTGTCCCACGCCTCTCTGCCAATTGACCTCCTTCTTTACACGTTCCTCTATTCCTTACCTCCATTCTCGCATCCAAGTTTCCCGACGGGCGCTTAATCGGACAGAGCTGGGGTTGTGGGCATTCAATGGGTCGGGTGAATGAGAAGCTTGTGGCCTTTTTGAACAACCGATGGTTGGTTTTTGTGGCTGCAATATGGGTACAATCTTGCGCCGGAATTGGGTATCTTTTCGGAAGCATATCGCCGGTGATCAAGACGAATTTGAGTTATAATCAGAAGCAAATTGCGCGGCTCGGTGTCGCGAAGGATCTTGGCGATAGCGTTGGCATTTTGGCCGGAACCTTGTCGGAGATATTGCCGTTCTGGGGAACTTTATTAGTCGGTGCTCTCAATAACTTTATTGGGTATGGTTGGGTTTGGCTCATCGTCACTGGTCGAGCTCCTGTTTTGCCTCTCTGGGCTGTAAGTTTCGTATCTTTCCCTCTTTTTTCTTTCTTTTAATTCCTCTATTTGAGTTTCTATTCGGATTCCATTTCCATTTCTTTTTGGGTTTGGATCTTCGTCTCTCGATAGTTCGAAACGGATATCCATGATCAGATCCTCATTGAGAATGGTTTCAAAATTTGCAAAGTGGTCAACGAGTTGATTACTCTCAAAAGCGCATTTGGGTGTGGGGGGATGATTTTTTCTTTAGATGGGTTGTCGAAAAACTCGGCGGGATGCAGCTTATCTGTTTGATAAAATGTTTCACTGAGATTATAGAAGCAATTTTGTTGAATATTCAATGATGGAAACACTGATTGCTATGAAAATACTTTACAAATAGATTTGCTGAATCTATATGTTGATTGAGGCTATTAAAAAGTTGTTTTGAATGTTCCTGAATCAATCTTAGCCTGTGCGTTGGCTACTGGGCCACTCTAATCTGTTGAAGTTTAAGAACAATTTCTGGTTGGTTAAGTATGGATATCATTGTGCAGATGTGCGTTCTTGTGTTTGTGGGAACGAATGGGGAGACATACTTCAACACAGTTTCTTTGGTTTCTTGCGTACAAAACTTTCCGAAGAGTAGGGGTCCGGTGGTAGGGATCTTGAAAGGCTTTGCTGGTTTAAGTGGTGCAATTTTGACTCAAATATATGCAATCATGCATTTCCCTGATTCAGCCAATCTTATTTTCATGATAGCAGTAGGTCCTGCTCTTGTGGCTATTGGTATGATGTTCTTTATCCGACCCGTTGCTGGTCATCGACAAGTGAGGCCGTCCGATGGCATGAGCTTTAGTAGTGTTTATGGTGTCTGCCTCCTTTTGGCTGCATATCTAATGGGAGTCATGCTTGTTGAGGATCTTGTTGATTTGAGCCCCACTGTGATAGCCATTTTCACTGCTGTTATGTTTGTTATCCTTCTTACTCCCTTTTTGATTCCTGTGATATTGACTTTTAGCTCGGAAACAATGGCGTATCCCGAGCAAGAGGCTCTCTTGCAACAGTCACCTAAACAGGAGCCTGCTAGATCTGAACCAGATGGTCATGAAGTGATATTTAGTGAGGTCGAAGATGAAAAATCGGAGGGAGAGGACTTACTCCCTGCATTGGAGCGACAAAAACGCATTGCTCAGTTGCAAGCAAGACTATTGCAGGCAGCTGCAGAAGGAGCAGTACGAGTCAAGAGGAGGAAGGGTCCTCGTAGAGGGGAGGACTTTACTTTGGGTCAAGCTTTGATCAAAGCAGACTTTTGGCTTATATTCTTCTCCCTTCTCCTTGGCTCTGGAACTGGGTTGACCGTGATCGATAACCTCGGACAGATGAGTCAGTCTTTAGGCTATGATAATACGCATATTTTTGTATCCCTGATCAGCATATGGAACTTTCTTGGCCGGGTTGGTGGCGGTTACTTCTCTGAGATCGTTGTGAGGTACGAAAATGATTTCAGTTAGAGTCATAAAACTGTATACTTCTCTTAATACTTTATACTTTTGTTGAACAGAGATTATGCTTATCCAAGGCCCATTGCTATGGCAACTGCACAATTCCTTATGATATTTGGGCATATCTTCATCGGTATGGGATGGCCCGGGGCAATGTACATTGGCACACTCATCACGGGGCTCGGATACGGGGCTCACTGGGCAATTGTGCCTGCTACTGCCTCGGAGTTGTTTGGGTTGAAAAAGTTCGGGGCTTTATACAACTTCCTGACTCTCTCAACTCCGATGGGATCTCTGATATTTTCGGGCCTAATTGCGAGCAGTATATATGATAGTGAAGCAGAGAAGCAAGCACATAATGGTCTCTCACAGCTGCAGAGCTCCTCATCAGTTTGGTTCAGCAGACTTCATGTCGATGCACCGCTCAAGTGCGACGGTGCTATATGTTTCTTTCTAACTTGTATGATAATGGCTGGATTCTGTGCTATTGCAGGCATGTTAAGTTTGATTTTGGTGCACCGGACAAAAGGTGTGTACTACAACCTGTACGGAAAATCCCGAGCTTCGACGCTCTCCTAGACCGGTTTCATTCGTCGTGTTATTCTTTTTCATGTTTTTTATTTTGAGATCGAGTGAATTATTTGCTCGGATGGCATTGCAAGAACGACACGAGAACCCGAAATGGATATTTGCTTCACTGTTACACTTAAGAATTCTTCACCCTTTGATGTAAAAGCTTTTTCCTGTGTGTTGCAGACTGCAGTCGGGTGGAAGAGAAACAGTCATCTTCATGTGCCACATTCCTCCCTTCCTCCCTTAAAAAAAAAAAAAAAAAAAAAAATTATATATATATATATAATTGTTGTGGAACATTTTATATTGAGGATTCACCATTATTGGTCGGTGAATTTAAAAAAAAATGCTATTTATTTATTTATTTTGGTAATTTTTGTCGTCTTGTCTGTTTAGATAAAATATTATGTGGTAGTATTTTTTATTATTTGTTCAAATGATTCGAAAGATAAATTCCCGTTTAATTAATATTATGAATGAACATAATTTTGGAGCAAATAATGTTGTTGTTGCTGTTAATTAATGTAGTTTTTATTCAATTGTATGGAAGCCATTGTTAAAGCTCCATCAATCTCTCCCAGTCAATTAAAGGCGCTGCAATCTCTCCTTATCTCTCCCGCCCTCCCCGTCTTAACCCCAAACGCCGCATTGAACTCCCCTCCATTGTTCGCAAATTCCACCACCGTCGACTTCGACGCCGAGCTCGTGAACAGAATCTCGTCCGATTTGAATAGTCCTTTCCCGTCTATCAGATTCTGGTAATACACGTTGTCGAACGTGTTAGGAGTGGTCGGATCTAGCTGGACCACGACGTTTGGGTCAACATTTCGAGGACAGGCTTGCTTTATCTGTTCGGCGTAGGCTCGGTTAAGCGAGGGATCGACGCCGGAGGAGGAGAACAGGCGGTCGGCGAAGCGGTTGCAGTGGGAGGCGCCGATGGTGTGGGCACCGGAGAGAGCAATCATGTCGGTTTGGCGAAGATCGAAGTCAGGGCGTTTAGGTCGAAATTTGGAGATGGTAAATTGCCGTCGACGCGTGAGGCTTTGGAAATGAGGCCGTCACGCCGTCCTAACTCGACGTTGAAATTTGGGCCTCCGGCCTGTAAGTCACGAATCAATTGTGAGGTTTAATTGGTTTCCAAAACCCCTTTAATTCCATTCTCTCTATTTTTTATGCTTTTTTTTTTTCCCCTCTTTTTATACCCGCAATTTTATTGGCTTCTTTGTCGTTTCAAGGAATATTACCAATTTATAATAATAATAATAATAAAATAAATAAAAAATTACAAAATTTGAATCGGATATATTGCTGGGTGGGTCTAACCCGGAGTGCTGCGGGTCGGATCCCGATCGGGACATTTCGCGATTGAAATTTGAAGGTTAATTAGCGTCCCTTCGGCCTTCAGCGGTTCAATTTCAAACCTAATTGAAAGAATCTTCCTTCTTGCAACGGTACCATGGAAGTTGAAACCCAATCGGAGTTTCCGTACTGGAAGCCTTTCCAACGGAGGTTCGACCCTGATTCTCCCTTCTTCGCCTCTGGTAATGTCGAGCGCGAAATCTTAGCCAAACAGGTTTTTGTGGCTCTCTCCTGTATGCGTTTGTTTGTTGCTGATTTTATACTGTATTCATGAAATAAACTCTTGGTCATTGCATGATTTTGAGTATGTTTGTTTGATTGATACTGTAGCTTGCTAGGTTTTGAGTTTTCTGTTTGTTGACTTGCGCAGTTTTCATTCTAATCCCTATTATTGACGCTCATGATATTCCATTTCTTCTTGTTTTTCGTATAATTTTGAAGGTTGCCTTGGATTTAACCGAAGATGAAAAGCTCCAGCTTCATAATATGGTAGTTGATGTCGGCAGGTAAAGCTTTAGTTTGCTATTTGCTCATATATCATGATTTTAGATGTTAACAAGTCTCAAGAACTCTTTAGAAGTTCAAATTAATTGGATTGGTTACAAATTCCTAGAGGAAAATTCATAGCCAAGTTGGAACCAATGGTTTGTGTTGACTATTTCAGTATTTCTTCCTTTATTTTCAATGTATCATCAACAGTCCATTCTCGAGTTTCCAGTGTTTTATTATTGGAATTTGTCATTGTAATCTGTATAGGAAAATCTTTTGCCCAATAGTCGGTTGTGGTGCGCACTTGAAATCACTGGATGACTTTGAAGATCACTACAATTCACGGCATACTGCCTCTTGTTCAGTTTGCCCCCGAGTATATCCAACATCACGACTGCTTAGTCTGCATGTGTCTGAGGCACACGACTCGTTCTTTCAAGCCAAAGTTGCTCGTGGCTATGACATGGTATATAACTTCGAACTTGTTATCCTATATATTTCTGTTCTGCATCTGTACTGATCTGTAGATACAGGGAATTACGTATGCTTCACATTGTCCTTTTTATCGAGTTGGGGCTTTGAGGTCTACGTTGAAGTTTCAATAGTTCATATATTGTTATTGCTCTGTATGTTTAGGATAACAGACTTGAGCATGAAGCTTTTAATCATTGTTAGTGGGGAGGGATCGGAGCTTTAGTTTTCTGGGGGACTGACCTACTAGTATAATTTAAACTTGATTTCTTTTCCAAATTCTTGGTCGAGAAGAACACTGAAACAGAAAAAGAGTAGCATTGCTGCAATAGAATGAAAGGATAACTCATATAACCCCATCTCTTTTTTAGATTATATTATCATTTCACTTGAAATATGCTACTGATTGATGTAACTTGAAATATTTCACAGTATGAATGCCTGGTGGAAGGTTGTGGTTTGAAGTTCAAGAGCTACAAAAGCAGACAGCAGCATCTAGTGGACAAGCATACGTTTTCTGCTTCATTTGAATTCTTTAAGAAGGCTCCTCCTTCTAAGAAACAAAGACAGAAATTATATCGTAAACAAGTACTTCAACCAAGGGAAGAAACTTCCAAAATGGAAGCCGAGAATGAAACCATGGATGGCCTCATTTTGGGAGTATCTAAACTAAGTACTTCGGGCTCAACTCCATCATCAGTCAGCTTTGGTCGAAGGCACACTCGAGGGTTAACGTTTGTTCCTCGAGCAGTTCAGCGTGATAAAGTTTCAGACTCCTCAACAGCAGGATCAAACAAATAAAAGTTCTGCATCTAGACCAAGTAAGGGTATAGTACCTATCAGTTCTAGCTCATCTGCTTCCCATTTTTGCTGTTTTTTCCTTAGTTCTTCTCAAGGGTATCTGGTGCTGCAACGTGGTTAGTTTTTTCTCATTTGATATATAGATTCTTAACCTCATCAATGGGACGATTCGTGTTATTTTGTAGTTGGGATGTAATTTGAGATAATATGTGAAATGATGGGAAGATCTTGCATCTCAAGATAGCAGAATTAGTTTTTATTTGACTTGCAATTTACTATCTTAGTGAAAGAATCAAAATATATTGAAATGGATGAATGGTTACAATGTTGATAGAAGAATTAGAGGATCAGTTGTTATTTGCCTATCCTAGTTATGAAGGAAATATTGTCGCTAGAAATGTTTGAGTCTCGATTCTGATGAGATTAGAAGGATATTTCAATGCATTAATGTAAACGTAAGTTATTGCAAACAATATATTTGAATCGTTTAAGTGTGAATAGCTGGGTTAAACATATTAACTCTTTAACCTCTTTTGAATAATGGATGAGTTTGTTTAAGTTGACTACAACCATCAAATCTAAGTCAAAAGTTACCGAGCTGTCCATTTAATTCAGGCCCAATTTCGAATGGGGTGAAATTCCCCGTTTTAGATAGAGAGAGTGAGTTAGATATAAATATATTTTTAAATGGGGTTGGAGACGGGATTATGTTTTTCGTTCCGGCCCTGCTTAATGTAAATATAAATATATTTTCAAAGAGAGAATTTCTAAATTTTATTCTAAGTTTTATTCACATGATTATCGTCGAAAACTCTCCACTTGCTCCGATCTCCACAAAAATAATCGAAGAATTTCAATGGAGTAAAGAATGAAATAGGTGATAGAGATGGGGATGAGTAAGGCTTCCCGTCCCCTCCCGTCCCCTCCCCTCCCCTCCCCTCCCCTCCCTGCTCAGGTAAAATGAATGAAAGTATTCTTTATGGTTTATAATTTCATTTTATATTATATGACTTTTCTAAATTACAAATCATCATCGGAAACTAGGAATGCAAATGATTTGTGTGATTAAAATGCAAGATGAGCACTTGGCTTGGCTTGGCTTGGGAACATTAAATTTTAAGGTTGGCCATAGCGTCGTCGTTTCATTTTTGCCTCTGTTTTACAGTTTTTGTAGAATTGCGGCGGTTGTGATTCCAAGGATAAGGTTCGCATTCGCTCCCCGTCTTCAATCCTGTTTCGTCCCTTCCAATTGTTCATTCATTTTCTTCGCTTCAAAATTTGTTTCTGGGCACACCGAAAATGCCTGTTACAGCCATGAGTTTAAACCTAGTTGGTGCATTCAGAGGCCTCTCTCTGGTCTCTTCCTCTTCTTCTTCCTTCTTCAAGGGCGATTTCGGTTCCATTCAACCCCCTCCCAACCTCTCCGTCTCCTTTCCTAACAGATTCCCTTTAACCATCGAAAGTGCACACAAGAAAGGAGCTGGAAGCACCAAGAATGGCCGCGATTCCAAAGGCCAGAGGCTCGGCGTTAAAATCTTTGGTGATCAAGTCGCCAAGCCCGGTTCCATTATCGTCCGCCAGCGCGGAACCAAGGTAATTCCTCCATCCACGCATTTTTTTCACTTCAATTTTGAAGTGGATACCCATTCCGCCCATTGTCTAGGGCATTTATGAGCATGGAAGGGGGTTAAAACGCAGACGTACATCAGTTGTTTGTAATTGAGTTCTGTTGTTGTACCATTCGTTTCAGTTCCATGCCGGAAAGAATGTGGGGCTTGGCAAGGACCATACAATTTTCTCATTGATTGATGGGCTTGTAAAATTTGAGAAGTATGGACCTGACAAGAAGAAGGTTTCACTTCGAACCTAGACTTTTCATTATGTGGGTAGTGTAAGTTACATTGCAGGAATGAAGTGTTATACTTATTTGATTGCAGGTGAGTGTGTACCCAAGAGAAGTGCAGCCTGAGAATCCCAACAGCTATAGAGCAAGGAAGAGGGAGTACTTCAGGCTGCAAAGAGAGCGCAAGAAAGCAAGGAAGGAAGGCGTCGTTGCTCAAGCTCAACTAATATTAGCTTCCACTGATGCACCAGTAACCAATCCAATTTGCTGATTTCCAGAGGCTGCTCTTCATTCTCTGCTTGTTGAAAAGCTCTGATGATCTGTTGCAGTAAGAAGGTCTGCTTCACTAGCTTCTGTTTTCTTTAGTTTGTGCACATATAATTTGCTGGATTCTTCACGGGATCATGTTTCATAATTATTCTCAACAGATAATACTGAGTGATTTTGATGAATTTTCTGTTGAAATGGCATACAACAAATTATGTTTATTGGGAATTGATAACATAAGAAAGTTCAGGATATGGTGCATAAGATACTGAAAAGAAAGTGGTATTCCTCTGTGGATAAAGACCATCAATCAAATAAGACTTCCCTATGTGTTTCTCGAACCGAACTGTATCGAGCTAGATGATCATTGACATCAGGGGGCAAAATCAAGAACTTTTATGAGGAAATTATACAATAACTTCTACATATGTAATCTATCAATTTTGAAAATTAGAGGTAATTAGAGGTTTGGATCTTATGTTCTTTAAAAAGAGGGTAATTATTTTCTGTCTCCACTCCGTGCTCATTGAAACTTGGAAGTTTCATTACAACTCTATGGGTATCACACACTCCACTGGTGCAATAGATAGAGGGCTTCGCATATGAAATTGAAGGGCGTTGGTGAGTTTTATTAAGATAAGTGAACGCTGGTTCTTCCTGGAGCTCGTCGGAAGATGAACAAGAAAGAACAAGAAATTAGTCTCATTGTTGATGTGCTTTGGACGTCTACTTAATAACTAAATGTTTAGACTTTTTTTATCTTTTAACTTTCAGAAGCCTTATCTCTGTGTCCCATTCAAAAACGGGGGAGGATATTACAGGATGGAATTAGACACTTGAAGAAAGGGCAAACTTTTTCAAAATTAGTTTTTGAGAAAAGAGGACGGATTACCAACATACATTTCTCACGAGGAGCAAATGGCCCTTTTAACGGGCTTCGTCTCTTGGAACAATAACGCGCGGAAGGAAAAAGATACAAATCATTTTGCATTGCTCTCCTCAAAATTCCCTGTTCTATAATATCCACAGTACATAGGGTGGGGGGTGGGGGGTGGGGGTTATCCATTCAAATATTAAATTTTTGAGGAACAGAATCGAAGTCGTCATAATCGAATCTCTGCCTCTCTCTTCCAGCCTGAAAACAGCAAATTTTCTTTTTTTAGTTTTACCTATCTACAATTCAAAATCAGATTTTGATTTAGAGATGCTCACCTTTGCTAGATACAGAGGATCATATGATATACTTTCATCCATTGCAGTCAGCTTTTTCGCAAGTTTCATCATCCTGTTGCGAGTAGAGGAAGGAAAAGAGCAATGAAGTATGCTGAAAAGACCTGAACCGAACATCCCACAATCAATCAATCCCAAACATCATACCTCTGGATCGACGAGTCAATATGCTCAACCATCTTGCAGGATTTGTACTGCTCAGAATCCTCTAGAAAGCTGACCATTCCATCCTTTTGATTAATTGTTGCAAAAATCTCACCGTCCTGGATCTAAAATTGGAACAAAAACTGATATTACAAGAGATGGAGGTTGATTAATATATTAATCCTGCAATTATGAAATTACCATTCGTAGCACATGCATTTCAGCTTCCTTAGGGCTGTTGAGTTTAACAGAATTGGCTATATCTTGAAGAGAGAGGGTCAAGTACGTCTGCGTCAATCTCTGAATGTTGCGTTTATACAGAGAAGATACAGCCTGCTTTACGAGTCCAAGATTGTTGTCCTGGTATAACACGATCAATTACTCATATCAAAACCCAGAAGCATACAAATGATAGATTGACAAACCAAAGGTCTCTTCTCTGCTGCATGCACACACCATTTAATTGGACCAATCTGAAGTGATAACATAGTGAAATAGGAATTCTTACATTTTCAAATTTCTCCCTGTTTGTTTGAAAAACAGTGTCTAATTCGTCAACGTTTCCCGTGCTATAACTATTTGCCAGTTCAATGTAGGGCTGTAGAAGAGGAAAGAAAAACAAGTAGCATAGACACGTCACTTGGATCACAGAAAAGGGAAGGGGGATACAAGCACATGGATAGCAACTGGATCTGAATAATACATTTTTTTGTAACCCAAATCCATAGTTTCCATCAGCACATTTGAAGCTAAAATATACCAAAGTAGACCAGCACTAAATCATTCACTCTAAGAGCAATTTATATCTATTATACCCACAATGCTGCTTTGATCAATCATAAATAAGATTGCGCTCCACCTATATACAATCTAGATGGCATCTACATCTAGAGCTTGATGGACAATTTTTCAGGATTGCAATAAAGAACTGCATCACTCATGGCAAAGAAAATTTCTAATTTCAAGCAAGTCTAGATCCATCGTTCCATTGATGGATTTGATTTTCATTTCTAAAATTGATAACTAAATCCAAAAATGATCATTGATTCCTACAGTTTCAAAATGAGGTAACTTCACATTTTGTTGAAATTAAACATTGAAATAAATGTATCCAAGTATTTGTCCATGAACAAAGAGAAGCTTTTCAGTTCAAATTTACAGTACCTGACAGAAAATTTTCAAATTTCTCTGTGCTACTGAAGAAGTGTACTTCGGGAGACTAATCGAAAACTGCCATCAGATGCATGTAGAGGCAAATTAGTCTCCTTAACATCATAGGAAATAAAAGCATACTAAGTGTCTCAAAGCTAAAAGCAACAAGAACCCCGTTATGCTGCAAAGTGTTACTATGTTTAAAATTCTATGAAACAAATATTCGAGATATTTTGCTCAGCTAGTCAAAATCCAACGATGATCACACAATTTACATCCTTGTTGAGGAAATAATAATTACACATTACCCACCTCCATGGTGGAACATCTCATTTTTTCGAGATTTTTTTCCGTAGGTCAAGGCTTAAAGTTACCATCAGAAAGGTGACAAATATGGAGATAGTAGAGCCATAAAAAGCTAAAAAAACAGAGATGAGAATATTTATTAACGCTAAGATCTGATTGACAATTGTACCAGTATTCAATATAAGAAGCAAGAACAGAATTCATATTTTATACTCCTAACATGATGAAATCTAAAAAACAACCTCCAGATATTCCTTCCTCATTTCCAAATATTTGAGGCCTTAAAATCAATAATAAAGCAGATAGAAAGAATAGCATACTTGTCCATTGTAAATGAGGGAGAGCAAAATGTACTTTTTGTATGCTTCAACAGCTATAGCATTCATTGATGACATTGGAGAAGTTACAGCCTGTAACAAAAATATGGGGATGGCTGTCAGATCATCCAAAAACACGTTAAAAAATTCAAATCAAAAGTATAAATGGAAAGAGTTCCATTAGATGGTGCACATTATGAAGAAGCTCAAGCGCTTTAGGAAATAGCTTTAGTCCTATGCAAATCATCCCCCTGTCACATAAGAAAATATCATCAGAAAATCCCTATTTATAGAGAGACAAAATTGAATCTCAGCATATGAATGATCTCATAGAATTAAATTATGTATCACATTTTTTTAGAAGGACAATGTCATTCACAACTTACAACAAGCCTGATTAAACATAGTTAGTTGCTTTCCTATTAAATAAATGTCTTTTTATAAGACAGTTAAATGATTGAATAAATAAAGTTCGGAGAGGCCTGATTTTTCAAAAAATAAAAAATAAAAAAGAAACTTAAATGTGAAACCAAACTTTCATTAACAAGGAATGAAAGTCAGCTAACAAGCTAATTAACAAATAGAAGCCTGAAACAAAAGGAAGCCACGAAAACAAAATAAACAATAGACAAATATACTCCGGTTGTAAAAAATAAAAGATAAACGATCATTTCAAAAAATAAGAATACATATAAAGGGCAGAGGGAAGCATAAAATGGGCCAAACCATTCCTCCTCCTAATACTCCTTTACACCCTAAACAAATCTCCTGCATCTCTTCACAACAAAAGCAACTCATGAAAAGCCTTTCGGTTGTCTTCAATGAAATTTCCAATTTAGGACCAATGTCACACCCCCGAAATGTCCAGCCGTAGAAAATTGACATCTCCATGAGATATAATCTAAGTCCTCTAACATGCATTTACAAAAGACAAACTCCTAAATATCCAAAACCAATAGACAACAACCCTTGAACAAAGATAGTGGTCTTGATGCTTATATAAGCTACTTATTAAATCATAAATCAATCCAAAAACTTGAGTTGATGGATTATGGTAAATTTAATTTTATATTAATATTTTAACACTCCTCACTTGTGGCCTTGAAAACTTGTAGAAGACCTAACAAGTGAAAAAAAAAAAGTAATTGGGGAGGAAAAGATATTACAGGGGTTCGATTATCGAATCTCCTGCTCTAATGTTGGGTGAAATCACCAATAAACCTGGAAGATTAAGTTGATAGGTTATGACAAATTTAGTTTTATATCAATACTTTATCACTACCAAACATGAAAATTTTTCAAGATTTCAGGACAACTTAACCTTGCAAAGCATAGGACAAGAAAGGTAATCTATGAAAAGGAAGAGCATTCAATGCGAAAAGATTGACAAGAAAGCACTCATTGGGACTTGGAGTCCAACCATGAAAGTCTTAGTACCTCGGGCAAAGATGGAAAATCATATAGAAGGAAAGCAGAGAGGATAACCCAAGCTTCTATATCAGGAAAAAAACCTCTTAAAGGTTATAGAGGTGGAAAAAGAAAAAAAGAAGATCATCACCCTTCCAAAAATACACCTAGATCCCTCCCCAATGGAAAACTTGATTAATTTGGAAAAGCAAGAGAGACCCATAGAAATAGCCTTCCATCAGTTCCTGAAAGTGTCTTGAGTTACTATAGTCGTGTTCTGTTCCACTTTGCTAGATGTCACCTACTTTTCCTTACTAGCTATAACCACTTAGCCACGAGTAAAAAATTCCATATCTTCAACCTACCCTCTTCAATAGACTTTGAGATATAATTTTCTCCACCCTTTTGAGGATACGGAGAGATGCTACTTTTAAAACAAATTGAACAAAAGTTAGTCTTCCTGTAAGGAGGCAGATTATTTTAATCATGGCAGGGATCCAAAATGTAATTGATCTAAGATTACACCATAATAAAAGATCCAAGTAGGAAACAATGAAAAAGCCTCATGCCTCGCAAGCATAGGGAAAATGTAACAATTAATGCTAGAAACAAAAAACTTATCCCAATTG